GCAACCTCCAACTCCTGGGCTCAAGCGAGTCTCCTGCCTCCGCCTCCCAAGTAGCTGGGACCATAGGCGCCCGCCACAACGCCTGGCTATTTTTTGGTTGCAGCTGTCATTGTTGTTTTGGCGGGTCCGGGCTGGGGATTCAAACCCGCCACCTTAGGTGTACATGGCTGGCGCCTTAGCCGGTTGAGCTATAGGTGCTGAGCCAGGAGGGAGACTTTTGACCCTACTATTTGATGTTATACCAGGCAAATTTTTTATTGGTTTTTAAAATAAAATATCACTGAAATACTTGTTAATAGGGAATATTTACATGCACTATGTCGTAACCAAACTATAGAATATTATACGGCCACCAAAAGAATGGGGGCAGGTCAATAGTTCTGACTTTGAAAAATCTCTAAAAGTGGGGTGGCGCCTGTGGCTCAAATGACTAGGGCAAGTGCATTAATGTACATAGTTACCATTCAATAAAAAAAAAAAATGACTAGGGCGCTGGCCCCATATACTGGAGGTGGCAGGTTCAAACCCAGCTCCGGCCAAAAACTGCAAAAAAAAATCTGTAAGAGGTATTTATGCTAGAAAATAAACTAAGGAATCAATTAATAAATAAGAGAAAACAAAAGCAGGTTACAAATGGTATTTATGATATGATCCTGCTTATGTTAAAAGAGAGAAACCAATATACCTAAAGGTATGTGTTATATACATATATATATATGTATATGTGTATATATATACATATATATACACACACACAAATGTATTTTGTAAAGTTCTGGAAGGATACATGCCATACAATTAGCTATGGTTGCTTTTAGGGAGAGAAATGGGGCTTGGGAAAGGTGATGCCCACTTTTTACTTATGTACTCATAGATTGAATATTTTAGAATAAGCGTGGATTACCTTGCTATTTAAATTTTAAAAAAGAAAAGAAAAAGATGGACTCAAGAGCTGAACTGATCCCCAAAGCTGGTATTATTTAATAAAAAAGTTGGGATGAGGGTTAAGCTAAAAACCATAGAGGCAGATCATGAGGTCCAGGCCCTGTGGGGAGAGGAACTTGGAAGGAAACAAAATGCTAGGTGGGAAGGGGTGAGAAGGTTTAGGTGGAGTGAACTGGCAGGAAGTAAAAGAACAGGTTGAGACAAACGCAAAGAAGCAGAGGGAAGTGATGGGAGGAGGGAGGAGATGTGATTGGAGGAAAGGAGTGAGCTATTAAGCCAAGAAAAGACCTGGAGGAAACTTAAATCCACATCACTAAGTGAAAGCAGTCAGCCTGAAAAGACTACACATGGTATGATTCCAACCATGACATTCTGGAAAAGGAAAAATCATGGAGACAGTAAAAAGTTCAGTGTTTGCAGGAGTTGGGGGTAGGAAGAGACGAATAGGCAGGGCCAGGAGGATTTTCAGGGCAGTGAAACTATTCTATATGATACTATAGTGGTAGATACATGTCATTATGTATTTGTCCAAAATTATACAATGTCCAACACCAGGAGTGAGCCCTAATGTAAACTATGGATTTGGGGTGATTATGATGTGTCTGTAATCACCCAAAGGTGCCACTGTGGTGCAGAATGTTGACGTCGGGAAGCTGGGCAGAGGAGGGGACAGGACATACACAGGAAAATGTTGGACTTTCCATTCACTTTGGCTGTGAACTTAAAACTGCTCTTAAAAAAATAAAGTTTAATAATTTTTTGAAAGATTAACTTTGAGTCCTCAATAAAGGACTCAGTAAAGCTGATTTTAGATACATTAAGTCCCCAGGGCACTGAAACACCTTGATGATCCCAGAGCCCTTCCTCCCGGAAAGCCATGCCTTGGGGTCCATACTTCTAACTCACCAGGCTATTGGCCATGGGGTTGAAAGTCAGGTCTATTTCCCCAATCTTTTGGTTCACCTGGTGAATGGAGCCAATAATGCATGCTGGAAGATGAATCTGCTAAGGAAACTCCAGGAAACATGATGGGGCTTGCCTGGTGAGAATGGCAGCCCTTTCTGCGCCACCTCACCACTTCTTTTCTTTGCAAACTTTCCCACTTGTTTATGCCACTACCTTAACAACTCTGCTAGGACTAGGGGAGATTTCCTCCTGGTATTTTTTTCATACATACTTTTTCACATAATTATAATCTCAGTGTATGCTTGTTTTACTACTGACGTCTCTTCCACTCCTTATTAAGAGCTTTTTCCACGTGGAGAAACAATCTTCATAATAAGCATTTTAAATGACATTATGCTATCCCATTTTCAGGATACACCTTAACAAACTGTTCCTGGCTATGGAATATTTCAACTGCTCGTATTTTTGTGCAAGTATAAATAATGCTGTGATGCACGTGGTCACAGAGAGCTGTTTCCACATTTTAGAACATTGCTTTAAAAGATATTTTCAGGTGAGGGCTAAGTGGGTCAAAGGGTATCTTGACCTTATTTATTGCTGTTGAAATCTCCTCCGTTCTGGTGGCCTTTCTAGTTACCCTCTCAACTTCTGCATTTCTTTCTGTCTTACCATCACTTGATCTATGCGCTATCTTTTGTAAAAACCCCATAATCCTATCCCCTCTCATTCCTTTCCCACGAAGCAAGTTTCACTCTTACTTCCATTACCCTTAAGTGTTCTTACAAATTGGAGGATACTTGAGAAATGAAGATGCCAGGATGGGACATGACAAATCATAGAAAGTGAAATGGATCTGTTAGGTGGAGATGAGTGTGGGATTAAGAAGAAAGAGGGGCATTAGAAAAAGGCCCAGCAAAGCGAGACCCTGAAGCAGATTCTGATGGGATCACATCTTGGCTCAGCTTAAGAAGGGCTTCTGAGAGGCATGGAAGATGAGGGTGCAGAGTGATCCGTGTGGATCAGCTGGTGGCAGCATTACTTGAAGGCAAATGATCTCTAGATGAAGTGGAAAGCCCTGGGCTTAGTTATCACCCAAGAGGGTCATTTGTGAGACAAGCTCTAAAGTCCTCCAGAGATGAGGTTCTGTAACCCTGGGCTGCAATTTAGGGTCAGAAGTGAAATGAGGATGAATGAAGACAGGGCCAGGGGAGTAAGATGCTGGTAGAGCCTCGTTGATGCTCAGAGAGGCAAACTTGGGGCCCAGGTAGAAGGGCTGGCAGGTGAGAAAAGGCAAGAATAAAGTCAACTGGATTTAAAAAAAGAAAAGCTGCATCTTATGTTCAACTGTCTGAGGGAAGAGGGCTGGACTATGACTTCTTAGCTGCTGTCAATAACATCTATAACTATAATTCTTTGGGAGGTAGAAGGGAAAGAAAGTCTTCCCTACTCTTTCCACAAATACTTCCAGTATATCTTCCTTTTGGGCTCTTTCAGATTACATCAGTTAAAAAACAAAACCAAAAAAACAGTGGGAGGCTGAGGCAAGAGAATCACTTAAGCCCAAGAGTTTGAGGTTGCTGTGAGCTGTGATACCACAGCACTCTACCCAGGGTGGCAGCTTGAGACTCTGTCTCAAAAAACATACAAAAAAAAAAACAACCAACAACAATAACAAAACTCACGTCAAGCAATCCTTCACATTCTCAAATTCTTTTAGAAGACAGGTGGGCTTAAGTAATGGAAAAAAACCAAAGAATGTAGAAAGGATAAGCAGGGCAGCGCCTGTGGCTCAGTGAGTAGGGCACTGGCCCCATATATCGAGGGTGGCGGGTTCAAACCCGGCCCCGGCCAAACTTCAACAAATAAAATAGCCAAGTGTTGTGGTGGGTGTCTGTAGTCCCGGCTACTTGGAAGGCTGAAGCAAGAGAATTGCCTAAGCCCAAAAGCTGGAGGTTGCTATGAGCTGTGATGTCACAGCATTCTACCGAGGGCCAGGTAAGACTCTGTCTCTTAAAAAAAAAAAAAAAGGATAAGCTAATAAGTGATGTGTATTACAGACTTGAGCACTGATTACACCTCAGCAACATGATTCAGATTAGGCATATTTGGTCTGATTGTCAGCAACACTACCAGAAGGATACAGGGTGGATTGTCCTCTAAGCTCTTCCTCACAGCTCCCCCCTTTGTCTTCCGCGCAATACAAGAGATGGTCAGCGGGTCATCCAAGGGTATAATTGGTAAGGCATTGACATTGATGATCTCCATCTTCCTGAAATAATTCACCATCCAATTTCTTGAAAATGGACAAACAAAAAGCTTCCACTTTTACAAGCCTCTCATTTTCCACGCCAATCCTGTTCTTTGTTCAGTCAGCCTCCTGGAAATCACAAATAGCATAAAACTATCTTAGAAAACACAAGAGGAAAAGACTAAGCTGGCTCACTTGCTAAGGAGGGCGGATGGCGAGACACATGTGCCATGCTCACATGGGGAATAAAGGCTTTGTCTGAGAAGCTCATTCTTTTCTGTTTAACTTCAGAATATTACAGAGGTATACACCTTTTGGTTATATAATTTGTTTTTTACATTTTAGGTCAAAGTTATAAGTGTGCCCTTCATCCAGAATGTGAGCATTATACCCAATAAGTGAGAATTAACCCAACCTCTGAGAGATGCCTATTCTTAGGACTTGTTCTTTCAACCTGCTGATGCCTGCCTTGGCCCCTCTCCCATGATGACAATTGTTCTTGTTTTAAAAATAAGGAGACTAGGCAGGGCACAGTGGCTCACGCCTATAATCCCAGCATTCTGGGAGGCCAAGGTGCAAGGATGGCTGAAGGTTGGGAGTTTGAGACCAGTCTGAGCAGGAGCAAGACTCCATCTCTACAATAAATAGAGTTGTATCACAGTGGCACACACCTAGTCTCCAGCTACTCGGGAGGCTAAGGCAGGATGATCATTTGAGACCAAGAGTGTGAGGTTGCAGTGAGCTATGATGAGGCCACTACACTCCATCTTGGTCAGTAGAATGAGACCCTGTCTCAGAAAAAAAAGAAAGAAAGAAAGAAAAGGCAGGACTCCAGACCACCCAGCAAGTCAGTTCCCAAACTAGAAATGCTGCATGAGCCTCAATTGTAAAATTAAGAGATTTGGATTAGATGACCCTAAGACCATTTCCAGCTTGTAGATGCTACAATCCCTGGATCCACAGATCTAGGTCCATCTCTTTAGCACAGGGCTCCTACCTGAGGTTTTCTGTTCCCTCTCAGAAAATAGGCCCCAATGTTACTCTCCTTTCAGGCTCTAGAACACTGGCCTGACTGCTTTCCTGGGTCCTTGCTCTAACTAGCCAGAAGCCCAGCACTCCATTTAGGAGCCCTCATGTCCAGAGTCTAGGCCTGGTTATAGTAAAGTAAAAGACTTAGACCCTGCCCTCAAGAAGCTCATACTCAATGGAAGGAGAGAGAAACAGTTGAGTTTGGTGGAAAAATTGATCACCATACTCTTGTTTCTCTCCTCTGGTTCAAGCCTTTGCTCCCCCCAGCCAGGTGTCCTATATGTCTGACCCACTAAACTTCTTTCTGGTTCCCGACTCTGCTATGCTCCTTGTGCCTCTATGCCTTTGTACATGCTGTTCTCTCTATTCAGCTAAATCCCAGTGATACATCTTCTGGAAGATCTCAGATTATTCCAGGCCATTAGCACCATGCCTGCTCTGAGCAGCCCACGGTTCTGCTTCTGTGTTTCTACTGTTTCCCGGGTCAGTACTCTTTCTTCCCCAAGGCTCCCAGCCCTTAGCCATACAGACAAAGAGGAGGGAGGAAAGAGGTGGCAGGTACATTTTAGGGTTTCCCACTTTCCTCCTCCCACCCACTCCCTAGCATATGGAAAACTACAACACGTTATCTGAGAAACTAGGCTTAGGGTGACTATCAAAAAGCTTCTTGCAGCTCGGCGCCTGTAGCTCAGTTGGCTAAGGTGCCAGCCACATACACCTAAGGTGGCAGGTTTGAATCCAGCCCAGGCTCACCAAACAACAATGCCGGCTACAACCAAAAAAAAAAAAAAAAAGCCAGGTGTTGTGGCAGGTGCCTGTAGTCCCAGCTACTTGGGAGGCTGAGGCAGGAGAGTCGCTTGAGCCCAGGAATTGGAGGTTGCTGTCAGCTGTAATGCCAAGGCACTCTACCCAGGGCAACAGCTTGAGGTTCTGTTTCAAAAAAAAAAAAAAAGAAACCTCTTGCTTTGGTTTAATGCCCCTGCTCATGCCTAACAGGTAATGGGAGAATTGACTCTTTGGGTTCTTAAGAAAAATGGTTAAAATACACATCCTGTTTCCCTTTAAATTTTTCAACACACTATTTTAGGATAAGTATTCTCTGAAACAAATCAAGTTTTTACTGCCATTACTTGGTGAAGAAAAAAGGAGCTGGGAAGTGGAAGAATAAGAAACCTTCTGCCCTTACGGAGCACACATTCTGGCAATTGAGATTTGAATGTCCCCTGTTCAAAGCTAACTAACATACTGGAGCATGGAAAAACAAGGCTGACTTTGGAGTCCCACAAACTTCTGTTTAGTTTAACTTTTAGTCATTCAATGAGTATTTACGGAGTATCTACCTCAAGCCAGCAGCATCCTGGGGGCAGGACGATGAGCTAAATTGGTTGATTACTGCTCTAACTGGATTCCTTCTACTGGTGGAGACAGGCAGTGATCAAACAATGCCATAAAGAATTATGAATTATTGGGCGGCACCTGTGTGGCTCAAGGAGTAAGGGGCCGGCCCCATATACCAGAGGTGGTGGGTTCAAGCCCGGCCCTGGCCAAAACTGAAAAAAACAAAGAATTATGAATTATAATTGTGAATTTTAACTGTCACCACTGTTTCAAAGGGAGGCACACAGCACTGAGATGATAATAGTGTGTGTTGACCTAGTCAAGGAGGCTTAGGCGCTGAAGGACGGAGCAAAAGTTAATTATACAAAGGAGAGGAAACTACTGTACCATCCAAGCAGAGGGAAGTAAAGCTGGAAAGGTAGGAAAAGGCTACACTTGTGTTGTCCCTTGCAGTGGCCTCTAGCCACATGTGATGAGTGAGCCCTTGGAATTTGGTTAGTGTGACTGACCAACTAAAATTTCATTTAATTAATTTTATTTATTTATTTATTTTGAGACAGAGTCTCTGGCAGCCTGAGTAGTGTGCTGTTGAGTCATAGCTCACAGAAACCGCAAGCTCTTGGGCTCAAGCAATCGTCTTGCCTCAGTTTTTCTATTTTTAGTAAAGAATGGGTCTCACTACTGCTCAGGCTGTTCTTGAACCTGTGAGCTCAGGCAATCCACTCACCTCGGCCTCCCAGAGTGCTAGGATTACAGACATGAGCCACAATGCCCGGCCAGAAGTAAAATTTTAATTTGAATTAATTTAAATTAAAAAACTGAAGCAGACTCAGCGCCTGTAGCACAGTGTTTACGGAGCTAGCCACATAAACTGAGACTGGTGGGTTCAAATCCGGCCAGGGCATGCTAGACAACAATGACAACTGCAACAAAAAATAGCTGGGCATTGTGGTGGGTGTCTGTAGTCCCAGCTCCTTGGGAGGCTGAGGCAAGAGAATCGCTTACACCCAAGAGTTTGAGAATGTTGTGAGCTATGATATCACAGCACTCTACCGAGGACGACATAGTGCAACTCTGTCTCTAAATAAATAAATAAATAACTGAAGCAATGTATGTTTTAAAATATAAATTATATTTTGAAATAATATTTTGGACATATAGAATTAAAACATTATTCAAAGTAATCTCGCTTTCTTTGGGTTTTGTTTTTACTCTTAAAAACACGACTACTAGAAAGTTCTAAATTACACACGTGGCCTGTTTTGTGTTTCTACTGGACAGCCACACCGCACAGATGTATTTCTAGGACACGGAGCTCTCCTCTCTCTAAAGAATAGTGTAGTTGGAAGAGAACTGCGCCTGCAGCTTGAGACCCTGAGGTCCTGTCCCTAATGGGATGGCGAAGCCGGTGCACTCACCAGGCCAGGGGTGGAGGGGGGAAGGTCTGCCCTGAGCCTGAGCTGCTGGAAGCGGGTCAGCGTCCGTCCGTCCGCCTGTCTTACCTGAAAGCATCGGAGGAACTTGACGAACCTGAGGCTAGTTTCATCACCGGTCTCTCAGGGAACCCCGCAATGTTCTGGACCGGCACCCGACTCCCGTTGCCCCCCACATCCACCTGGAAGAGGGGCCCTTTGCTTTGTGGTCGGGAAGGAGAAAAAAGAGAAGGGGAACTGGGCAGAGGCCCATTTTGCCACTGTGAGTCGAGGAGTTCTCCAGGCAACGCTGGGTGCGATCACCATTTTCCCTTTTCCCATAACAATGGAACGGTCTAAAGCCACCCAGGTGTCCCTGAGACGCCGTTACCACGGTGACCGCCACAGTGGGCCTAGGGAACCAGACCAATGTGTTCATGGGGAGGCTGAGTTTAGTTCCTCGGCTTAGCCTGTAATTTGCGGCACGTGAATGACCCCAGTAGAAGTTTCCGCTGTTCAGGGAACTTAATATGCTGAGGAGTGTTAGCCGCAGGTCCTGGGGCTCTGCGCAGGCTCGCGTTGGGGACCCCGCCGCGCCGACGCCCCCTCCGTCCCAGGTGGCAGAGGCCGGGGCGGAGCTGCGCGTGCGCGCGGCGGGCGGGTGTCGGGGGCCTGCGAATCTCTGTTGCGGCGGGTGACTGGTGCCCCTAGCAGGCTCTTTGCGCGGGGCTCTCGAGTGCGTTTGGACCCCAGCTTCTGGGACATATCAGGTACGTCTCTGAAGATAGCATCGCCGGGCAGCGAGGCCTGGGTTCCCCTGTGTCTCCCGGGCCTCCCCCAGAGAGGGGCTGTTGGAGCCCCCAGGGACGCTGGCGCAGGCCAGGCTTAGGCCAGGCAGGTAGGTCTCCTTCCTCCTCTAAGTGTGTCTCCGCTATTGTACACAGGAACCGTAATTCCTCCCTGTAAGTCGATCGATCCTGACGGTGACTAAATGACATCGTGAGTGTGAACGTCTGTTCACAACCGTTATACGAGTCCAGCCGCCCTGGTGATCGTGTACCTGGAAGATCAGTACTTGGCTGGGCTCTTAATTCTTTGGGGGACACGTGTCCCTTTGCGAATGCGATGACAGCCATCGATCCCTCCCTTACCTTATTTTTAATATTAAAATAAGGTAATGTATTTTATGTCCTGTTGCAAACTGAAAGACTTAGTGATATGTGATCTGTAGATGGGGACACAGGATCTACTTTCCAGGGTCGTGTGAGGATCAAATGCCACAGCTTATAAACACGAAAGCACTATGACATCTGGTGAGCCGTGGACCATAATTATTCCCGATTACAAATAAGAAGCCAAGGCCCAGGAGAATACATGCTGGGGTCCCACTGCGGGTGAGCACAGAGTGATGGTTGGAAACCGGTCCCTTGCCTTTCATTTCCTTTGTGTTGGGCTCTCTCTCCCAAGGAGTTTCTCTAGAAAGAAGGCTGCCTTAGGCCAAAGGGACAGCTTGTACCTGAGGACCACTCTGATACCCCAGAACCCGGGGATCTCACCCAGAGTTGTTTGTGGGTTGTTAGATCTGACTTAAAGGCATCTAGTCCAGACCCTTCTTAATATGTGGATGACAGTTCTTGGCTTAAGAGTTATGAGAATTATTGAGATCAGCAGTGACATGTCTTTGTTAAAACCAGGGGAAATAAGCACCTTGGTCAAAGACTAACAAGCCACTGAGGGGCAGAGCCAGGCCTGGAACCTGGTCTGCTGCATTCAGGTTATGTTCTGAGGCATAGAGCTGTTAGTATAGGTGGGGGCGTGGCAGGAACAACTCGGCTTATTTTTACTTCTTCAAATGTCTCCAGATGGTTGGCATGACAGGGGCTGTTTAACTGTTCTTTTGCTCATAAATAATACATGAATATATTCTCATTGTGATAATTCATTAAATCCAGAGTATATTTCTTTAATATAATCTTCTATACTATCATATGAAATTTGCCATTAGTGAATACTTTTAGTTATAAAATGGTAATTTCATTGAGTTCAATCATCCTACTCCTTTTTCCAGGTTTATACACTATGAGCAGTTTGTTGTATCCTTCCAGATCTTTTTTCTGTTTTTCATTTCATTTTATTTATTTATTTGTTTTTTGAGACAGAGTCTCACTCTGTTGCCCTAGGCTAGAGGGCTGTGGTCTTAGCTCAGCTCACAGCACATTCAAACTCCTGGGCTTAAGCCATCCTCCTGCCTCCGCCTCCCACATAGATGGGACTATAGAGGCCCGCCACAACACCCAGCTAATTTTTCTATTTTTAGGAGAGACAGACCTTGCTCTTGCCCAGGCTGTTCTCAAATGCCTGAGCCCAAGCGATCCTCCCACCTTGGCCTCCCAGAGTGCTAAGATTATAGGTGTGAGTCACTTCTCCCGGCCCTATCATTAATTCTAGTGGAATTAATTTCTCCATTGATGAAAGCAGCACAGAAGTTTTCATGTTCTCATTGGATGCACAGCTTGATGGTTGTAATGATTCCTACTATGAATTATCTTTTATTTTATCTTATTTATTTTTTTAGAGACAGAGTCTCACTTTGTCACCCTCGGTAGAGTGCTGTGGCATCACAGCTCACAGCAAACTTTAGCTCTTGGGCTTTGGTGATTCTCTTGTCTCAGCCTCCTGAGTAGCTGGGACTATAGGTGCCTGCCATAATGCCCAGCTATTTTTTTTTTTGTTGTTGTTGTTGCAGTTCGGCCGGGGCTGGGTTCGAACCTACCACCCTTGGTATATGGGGCCAGCGCCCTACTCACTGAGCCACAGGTGCCGCCCCAGTTTCTTTATTTTTAATCTCACAATGTGGTGAAAGAAGACTTTATACTTAGGAGTAGGGAAAGTGAGAATTCTGCTATTTTTTTTTTTTCGGTTCACTGTGCTTTTATTGTTATCATGCATGTACAGTTTCTTAGAAGGAATATTTTTTTTTTTTTTTTTTTTGAGACAGAGCCTCAAGCTGTCCCCCTGGGTAGAGTG